TTAGTTAGATTATGAGTTAGGCAGCTAGCTAGTGGAAGGGCCTGAGTATGAGGTGACCAGCCATACTGATAAAAATTAGAATAGATAATGACCTAGGGCTTTGGACAAAGAATGAACTTTCTTAGGCAGCATGGAATGCAGGCCATCCCCTTCTAAGGGGTAGGGGTGCAGCCACTCCCTAGTAAGTTCTTGAATTTTGAGGAAATTATAATGCAAACTATTCAGTTCCTTCTGAGATACCAGTTTTCTGTAAACCATGTTGAAGAAATGGATTGAAAACCTGAATCCCAGTTGGTCATTTTGAATCCACAGAGCCACTCATGACGGGCGACCACTAACCAATTGAGCAATTCCTGTGCTCTGTTAATCTATAATTAGCCCTAGATCAGAAGACCAGGCAGCCACCCCATTCAGGACCCATCCTAGAAATTCAGGAGCTACTCTCCTTCTTATCAATAAAAGCTGTCCTAACCTCATCTTTTGGTTCATGACTTCATTCCTTGGCATTCACAGAACCACAAGCCTGGTACACATGGTATTGATATACATACCCTTTCAAGATTATGCCTATTTGATTGTTATGTATATTATATATGTGTTATAACACTTACAGACTGTGCTTTCCAGGCAATGTCATTCTAGAAATTAAAAGCTAGACATTAACCTATAAAGTACATCTATAGACAAGTACATTCTTCTTAAATGGCACTCTATTAAAAGATAACAAATTTAGGTAAAAGTTTCTTTATGTCATTTAATATCTTATAATTAGATAAAGATAAGTGGCTAAAAAGTTATTGTATACTAAGATGAAAATTTAAATGTGTCCCAGAGATTATAACAAAATCTAATTGTTCTAATATAGCACCATGATTGTTATGTTAGGATGTTATGTTGCCCTTGAACTCAAATTTTCTCTGTAAAACTTTATAATTGTGATCTGTTAACATTCTTCAGGGATTTAACTTCTGATAGGTAAAGAAATAACAGTTCTCTAGTCATACTCTGTATTTCAAGGTGCTTGATATTTAGATAAGATCATAAAATTAAACCTACTGCTTTCGCTGCAATACTAATGTAACTGATCTTCTGGGTATTCAACAACTTAGGTTTGGAGACCAAAGCTAAGAAAAATAATTGGGCTAAGACAACAGCCAATATTTTGGCCCTGGCACTTCAAGGTCAACAAGGACCCAGGACAATAGGGGACATTTTTTATAGGATTCTACAACTTTGGTAAGTCACCAAACCTCCTAAGCAGGGAGATTGTCAGATCCCAGAAATCAACCAATGTACAGTGTGCTAAGAAGGAGGTTCACTAGAGAGAGACATCTCTCATACTTTCACAGGAAGCCACATGGTCAAGCAAGACTCTGACCCATTCTGATGGCTCACACTGATACAAGAGCTGAGAGGTTAAAAAAATAACATAGTTCCAAAAGTAACCCCTGAAAAGACTTAACTCACCTTTACATATGGTGAGAGGTTAATTTTGATTAATACAAGTCTCACTTTAACTTGATCTTAAAATTCCAGCAGAAAAGTATAACCAAAAGATATATAAAAAGTTATATCATAGTAATAAAAGCTAGATATAGAAAGAAGACTCCAATCACTACACTGACCCCTGCTGGCAGTCTCCAGCTACAACCTGTAGTTGGCCACTATTATAGCTCAATGAGGCTAGACCGCAGCATAAAGCTCAGTGAGTCTTTAACTTTCTTAGCTAAATTTGTCCTTCAAAACCACAACTCGCCATCTTCTTACAGTTAAAACTGTAGGGACTTGTGCACTGATAAATGAAACTTGTTGTCTTAGGTAATTAATTCACACCAAATGAAAAAAGTGTTATAGAAACATCAGACTTATAGATAACCTCCAACAGTGGACAGGACTAGGAGTAAGGTGGTTACAATCCTTATTCCCATCCCTTAAGAGCAGTGTCTGGATGTGGCTCCTTTCCCCAAACTGTCTTTCTCTTCTGGTGCTTATGCTTTGGCCAGATATCCTTTAATCTCTTAGTAAATTTGTTTATTCTTTCCCAGAGACTTCCAAACTCCAAGTGATCATACGAATGAAACCAATGATGAATATGCTGGGCTCCTTTTCCTGGGGTCCACTAGATTGACCTCATAAAGAGAGTTTATAACTGCTAACCCTGAACATGACTACTATCCAAGGGCCCTTAGATTAGCTTTCTGGAGAAGGCGCCTGATTGTGGTCTGCCCTCCACTGAACTTTCTCAGCTCCAAACAGCTAGATTGAAATTATACCCATTGTTCCCTTACTGCATTCTTCCCTAACTCATCAGAGGGGGGAATATTATAGGCAGCTAAGTTAGATAGAAATTAACATACAGTCAGAGAAGGACTGGGCTCTCAAGGAAATCAGCACAAAAATTAAAGACATCAGGATTATGGCTAGAGGCACATCTGAACAAGGCCAGGCCTCCAGATGAAGATGCAATGGCCATCTTCTCTTACCTCAGTGGCCTTATGCCTCCCTGAGGGATAAACAGTAACTTGAAATTTCACTATAATTAGCATCACCTGGTCCAGTAAATCCAGTTAGACATCAGTTGCCCAGGTAGGTGACCCATCCTCCCTTCCCAGAAAGCTTTTGTTCTTTCCATGTATCCTTGCTATGTAACTCATTTCCCTACTAGGTCAATATTAGCAAGCAGCTATACTAGTAATCCTATAAGTTATTATAGTTTTGACCTGTGTTGTACCCACACTGTGACTTTGCTGAATAAATCACCCCTGACAAAGGGCCTTGGTAGCTATCTATTCGAGACTCCTCCTGGAAATCCAAGAGCTATTCTTCTGCTTAGTTCCAATAAAACTTCCCTAACTTCTTATTTTGTTTTACAACTTCATCCTTCAATGTCATGGGATCACAAATTCTCACAATAAATATTTCCTACTCTTAACTTCTGCTCTTTCTTAAAATTCATCCTTTGATTTTTGGGGAACAGAAACTCGGTGTAACTGACATGTAACAGGCTGGGAGTTATAATATTTCTTGTATATCATTTGGAGGTCAGATATTATTTCTCTATCAGAAATAGCACAAGAAAATCATCTTTAGGAAGATGGGATGAATAAGTAATACAGATTAAGTAGAGCCAGAAGCCTGCCCTGGTATACAGGCATGGTGTACATAGTTCTCTAGAAATACCACCATAGGGTAGCAAAAATGTGGGAATGAGCTTTAGGATTTGGGAGGGTCAAGGGACAGGACCTTGGGGGACATCCCTGGACTTCTTCTCTGGGGAGCTTTGTACATTTTCAGCACCAACTCTGTGTCAGGCACCACACCCATGTTTTGTAATACATTCTTGCAACAATCTTTGTTTAAAAATAAAGAGAAGAGACACTTATAAAAAGAACAAAAATAACTTGCCCTAAGTATTCATGCCCCTTCTGCTTACACTGTGTGTGTGTATTTCCCTCCAGCTGTTTTTATTTTTTAATTTGCAACGGATTCCAGGAAGTCTCTAAAATGCCCAGACTGGGGTAAACTTGGGCACCTCCTGCCCTAGCCTCTCAAGAGTGTTGGGATTACAGGTTGGTGCCACCACACCTGGTTACTCCCTGAGTCTAAGAATTCATTAAAGTGCCTCTTGGGAGGGACAGCTACGTGACAGCATGGTCATGTCTCAAGGTTTTCTGTGATATCCTCTCACATGCATGAAGGCAATATTCCTCTAGTTGATAATGTTTCAGTTTTTCACTTTACATTTTTGCTTCCTTGCCTGTTCCTACCCCTGCCCTACAGGTCTTAGCTTCTCCAGCTTACGCTTGTCTCCTTGTCTTCTTTTTTGTTTTCCTCTCTGAGAACCAACACCATGGGTTTCCTTCTGCATCTCAGCAGAACTGGCTACTCCCATCTGCGACCTTGACACTTGCTACTTCTTTCCCTTGGGTTCCCCCTTCAAGAAAGAATTTGGAGAGTGTCTTCATGGATCACAGGCTCCCTAACAAGATGTTGTGCTCAACATAGGATGATCACGGCCTCTCAGCTGCTGCTTCATGCCCATCCTCTGGGAAATGTGAAAGTAGAGCTCCTGGCTCTTTATCCTGATGGTCTTGATCTTCATCAGTTCTAAGGCTAATCAAAAAGGACTCTGTTCACTGGTCCCAAACTTCTCTAACAGCTGTGTTACTTTTCTCTGACTTCTAGAATACCTGTAGCAGGACAGGGCCCTCTGAATGATGATGAATAAAAGAGTTGTGTATATAATTAAAAATTGATATTTCAAGTCTTTAGTTTTTTACAATGCAAATTGAGAAAGTAAAAGTCAATCTTGGTAAATTTTACTCATGTTTGATATGCAAAGAGCCCAGCTCTGAGCTGACCCCCATGCAGGACATACCAGAGCAGAAACAGGTCTTCATGGACTTTATGATGAGTGGGAGGAAGCAAAGGCAGTATAAGTGTAAGGAGAAAAAATACTGATGAAAACAAATGTTGCCCTTCTGAGTGGCAGCTCCACGATGTCCATAGATGTTACAGGTATGACAGTCTGTTTGGACAGGCAATGAACTCAGTGCTGTAAGACTGGGGGAGTCATTGGAAAAGGTGTGGGTTTGGGGTACTTTTTCTTTTAGAAAAAAATCTCCTTTATCTATAAAGATGATGGCAAGATTGGATTATATATTTATATGACTGGTGATTGACCCAGAGGAGGTGTTAGGAGCACTACTAACTCCTGTGGTATCAGAGCTTCAAATGTAGGTGTCCTGGGGCTCTGCCTCGCTCCTGACACTGACAGGGCCCTCACACTTTCTCTGAAGCTGACCCTCAGTATGGCTGCATGCAGTGTAGTTATGAGGTAGGGATGAGCCAAATGAATTGTTTCAGCCTTAGTTCCTGGGAAACGATGAATCAAAGACTTGTTCAGCTGGTTTTCTTTGTGCACAGAGAGGGGCGTGGGTTCCAGAGGACCTAACCCATCTGATCCCAGAGAGCCTTGTGGACACAGAATCAAATGCTCCTGTTGGGACTTCTGGCTGGGGAGGACTTGAGCACTGAGGTGCTGTGACCCAGAACTCAGGTCCAGACCTGGGCTCCTAGAAGAGAGGGCCCTCCCAAAGCTCATTTTCCCAGAATACTGCATGGAAAATTGAGTCTCATTGGGGAAGAAAACAGGTGGGGGGAATTACACTGATCTGGTCTGGAGTTTGTGACAAATTCTGCTTATCATCAGAAGATCTGAAGACCAGAAGGGGCCCTGCTCAGCTGCACTCTTCCCTACAGGACAAAAGTGATAAACAGTTCAGTGAGTATAACGGGGTAGGGAAGGAATAAGGGAAGAGGTACACTCCAGGACCGAAATGTTCAGGGTGGGCTTGTGGGTCAAAGATGATTTCCTACAGAATTTGCCCAAGAAAGAAGGAGATGCTTCTTCCTTACATTCTGCTTAGGAGAATTAAGGAGGAGTTCCCGAGAGCGAGTGAGGCTAGGGGACATGTCTTTGTATGTCCATGTCCAGGTCCACTTAAGGAGTTCCGTTGCTTTATATCCTCATCAGCATTTGGTGTTTTTGTTTTGGTCATTCTAATAGGCATGAGTGATATAACCTTTTTAAAATGTGCAGTACCTAAGATACTTGATGTTGAGGATCTTTTCATATGAGTTTCTATTTTTATCTTTTTTTGATGAGATGTCTGCTCAGATCTTTTGCCTGTTAAAATTTTTTTTAAAAAAGGCTGCGTGATTATTTTCTCTTTTTGTGCAATCCTTACCTGGTTTTAGCCAAAAGTGCCAAAATCTCTTAATACTATTCAAAGAACATACATTTTTATATTTCCTTGGATATTTGATAGTTCATGTAAAACCTACCTGGACCTAACTGAAGGTTTACATTGGTATATATTTTTAAACTTGATTAAAGTTTTTAATGGTTTCAAGTCTTTTAAGTATTTATTTTTAAGTGAGTTTGTATAAGTTATTTCTTCTAGGATATTGTTCAGTCCATTTAATGTGTGTATTTATTGGCAAAAGTTTACATCTGGTTATTACTGTAATTATATTCTTTTTACTTTCTAAATCAGTTTATTTGTGCAATTTTCTTTTTTCTTTCCTGATCAGTCTTGTTCAAAGTTTGTCTGTTTTTTTTGTTGTACTGAGGATTGAGTCCATGGGGTCTTGTATGCTTTTTTTGTTCTGACATATCCTAGAGTTTTTATGATAAAAATATGATCTGAGTAATACTGACTCTTGATATCCATAGAGACTTGCTTAGTGTCATGGGTTCTGTCTTGTGGCTACTCTGTGTGTGTGAAAAGAATGAGCAATCTCTCTAGAAGGTATGTGCCATCTTCTACATGCCCATTATATCCTTTTATAGCTGCTCTGTTCTTGTCTTCTTCATCATTGAGATTTTTAGAAATATTTAATCAACCAATCGCTGAGCTCCCCTTTACAGTATTTGTTCTTAGCTTTCAAGGCTGCTTTTTTAGATTCACCTGTGCTTTGAGTTATTGAATGTTCTTCTTATACAGTGACCTGTCATTGATGGCACTGATGATGATTTATAACTATGCATGTATTTGTTAGTAAGATCATTTGGTAAACATTTGTCTTTATCATTATCCTGGGCTCCAGGAGATGAGAGACCATTTATATTTTACTCACATAGGGAAATATTCCCAGGACAGGGCTTAGCATCTAATAGGTATTCATTAAAAACTTGCTGACTGAATGAGTAATAACTGAATGAACAAATCCATTTACATATGTTTACCTTTGGGAAGGGAAATCTCATTCTTTGTACCTCTAACTGACTAACTAGGTGCTCCAAAGTTTTCTTCACATTGGCGGTGGCAGATAGTCTAGGAATCTCCTCTCCGTTCCCTGATGGTCATCTGCTAGGTAGTTGCTTAAGTCCAACTTAGGATCCATTCCAGGCATCTTTTGTGTGTACGTGCTGCTTTCTTGTATGCTTGTTACAAAGACCTAAATCTCTCTGGGAAGACGTATTTAGGCCCATGTAATCCCTTCTGTAGGAGCGAAGGAACTCCACAAAGAAAACCCGTCTTGTCCTCACAAGTGCACTGAATGCACCCAGAATAACACATGCATACTTCATTCTCTGGGATTTTTCAGCCACCTCCCCTTTCCTTGCCATGACTCATGACTCAGCCTGTCACCTTCTCTGCTTTCTTCACATCCACTGATCCATGCCTCCTTTCACTCACCTCACTCATTTTCTGGTGAAGAGGCCTGCTCAGAACTGCTTTCCTGACTTGTACACAGCACTTTCCTGAGCTGCTCTGAGTGTGGGAGCTGTGAGCCCTCACAGAGACCACCTTGGCCCTCGCTCTTTTCATAGATGTCTCTACCTTCAGTACAAGACCAGGATCTGATCACTTCTTCTCACTTCACCTGCAGTGACTTGATCCAATTCAGTCAAATTTACCTGGATTATTGCAAAACCAACCCAACTAGTCCCAACTAGTCCCTCTGCTTCCACCCTGATTTCCTTATTGCAGCTTCTGTCACCATTGTAACCACAGGGGAAATGCCAAAAGGTGCATCGGATGTGTCCCTTGTGGGCTCAGACCCTGTTGAGGACTCCTGTTCTCACTGCAAGTCAGAGAAAGAGAAGACAAAGTCCACCTGGGGCCAACTGGGGACCAATTTGTCCCTGTTTCTTCTGATCTCATCACCTTTCTCTTTGCTTTCCACTTCTTCAGGCATGCCTGGCTTCAGAGACTGCACTAGCTGGTTGCTTCATCTGGAATATTCTCCTTATAGGCTCTTTTATATCTAACTCCTTTAAGTTTTATTCAAATGTCACTTCTGAGTGAGGCCTTTTGGCAAAATGTGTAAACTTGCCAATACCATCCTTATCTATACCACCACCAGAGCCCCTTAACCTGAGCTCAGTCTTCCCTCTGGCTCTTCAGTTGGAGAGAGAAATGATTCTTCCTCCTTCCTGTCCTTTAGAGAGTCCCTGAGTTAGAGATGACGGGCACTGGCTTTGTTTCTACAACCAGGAGGAGCAGTGAGTTTCACAGCAGTGCTTCTGTCAGAAGCCCAGGCTGCCTTTAGAACACTGAAGTTGAGAGAGTTATGACCTGGCTACCATTCTACGTTAAGACTTGATTATCTAATGTGTAGCTTTTTTCCTTTCTGAAAATATCTGAAGTTCGTGAGAATTAACCTTTCTCTTCCTCTTCCCAGTTGCTGTCTGTGTTCCCTGCCATCTGCGCCTAGCAACATGTCCTCCATATTAGAGCGGGTTAGCAATAGGATGATCCAAAATCTTGGAAGCAAAGATCTGAAGCCTGTCAAGTGTGTACTGGATGCCACCAAATTCCGTCAGTTTAGTATATTACAGAAGAAAACTTCATTCTGGCCCTGGAAACAGTCTGATGACATTCCTGTTGAATATTCTCTCATGGACATCCTGGAACCAAGTTCTTCAGTCCCAGGTATTATCAGCCAGGGGGAAAGGATACATGGTGTGATAAACAAGGTTCTCAAATATTGTACAGCATCTGGGAATCCCCAAGACACTTGGATGAATAGATCCAGGATCCACCTTGCCTAAGGGCAAAGGACAAGGTGCTAACATTATTTGAGAGCCTGCTAATAATGATCCCATCATTCATTAGGTCTTACCCTGTTTACAAGAGCTGCATGAGTGGCTGTATTTTCTGTAAAAGTAAATAGAACCATATAAAATAATTTGTTCAAAGTTGCACAGCTGGGAACTGGTAGAGTTGGGACCCAAACCTAGGTCAGTGTGTCTCCAAATCCCAAACATTTTCTGTTCCTGGGAGCTGCTCCTTGTGGGATGCTGTGCCTGTGTCTCCTGGACACTATACATCAGTGCCACCATTCTTAGGGATGAGACGTGTCCCTGCTGTGAAATGCGTGGATGGATTGGAACACTTGTCCTTTGTGATAATTTATACTTCCAATATTAATTAATTAAGTATCTTCTTGATTTAAGAGATTTAAATGAATGAGAGCATTGGGGCAAAAATTGCCCTCATTTTTTTCTGTTTCCATCACCAACTGTTCCATGATGAATTCTTGGCAACCCCTGTCTGACCTCTTTTCTCTTCCCAGAATGTGTGAGGTCTGGACTATTTCACAGCAAGGACTTTGAGATCAAGAAACTGAAGACTGATGTGGGTATCAATGCTGGTGCAGAAGTGAGTGTGTCAGGGGAAATCGTTCAGTCCCATGGATCCACCCTTGAGGTTCAGAGTGTTAGCATCCCACATCCCAAACTGGAAACCCTTCAAAACAGGTGAGCCCACTGGAGAGGAAGGAACAAGTCATTAGAGTCCCAAAGGCTGCTCCTCTTGTTGGCAAAGAGGCCTCTAGCAGAATTTGGTGCTGGAATCAAAATGAAGAGAATGAGGTCTCCAATTATGCTGCTCTTCAGTATTCATTTCTTCATTTAAATAATGGCTGTTAGTTACCTAGTACATGTCTAATAGGGCAATGTTTACCTATTGTGTTAATATTCTGGGGGATAGAACTACAAGGGAGGCAAAGATTCCTTTCCCAAAGCAGTTTATATTAGTGGAGGTGAGACAGGCAGGTAATAAACACTAAAAATAGGTCAATAGCAAGGCACGGTGGCACATGCCTATAAGTCCTGCAATGTGGGCAGTAAGGGGATTACATATTTGAATCCAGCCTGGGCCCCTTAGCATCTTAGTGAGATCCTGTCTCACAAATAAAAAATAAAAAATAGGCTGTGGATACAGCTCCATACAAAGGTCGTTGGTTCACTCCTCAGTACTGGAAAAAGGAAAAAAGAGCAAAGTATTAATTATACTGAGACAAAGATGCTAAAACTCTCTTTAAATCATGAATATCTTGGCATTATTTTTAAATTATTATTATTATTATTATTTTTTGTACCGGGGATCGAACTTGGGTCCTTGTGCTTGCGAGGCAGACAACGGAACCACTGGGCTAAATCCCTAGCCCTTTAAATTATTTTTTAAGCTCTATTGCATGTGAGAAATAAAATTGTGTAAATCTTAAGATTTACAGCACGATCATTTGGAAATATATATGACTCGATGACCACAATCAAGTCAAATAACACATCTATCACCTTACCTAACACCTTTTTGTTTCTCAGTTTTAGTTTTTAGTTTTAGTACCTACTGCCTTAGCAGATTTCAACTATACAGCACTGTATTGTTAACTATAGTCAGCATATGGTACCTCAGATCATATCCTGGGGAAAACCCCACTGGATTCTGGATTCTTTTTTTTTTTTTTTTTGTACTAGGGATCAAACTCAAGACCTTGTGCTTTCGAGGCAGGTGACGGAACCACTGAGCTAAATGCCTGCCCCAATTCTGGATTCTTTTAATCTGATGTGAAATTTGTTTGGCTGGCATTCCTTTCATCTTGTACATTGACCTGTACTTTTCTTTTCTTGTAATGTCCTGCTCAGCTTTGATAGCAGAGTAACACTAGTTGTGTGGCTTAAGCACTATGGTTTAGATTTGTGGTGTCCCTCAGAAGTCTGATGTGTTGGAAAGTGATTGGATCTTGGGGTGCTGTACTCATCAGTGGATTAGTCCACTTTCATTCATAGCTGACTTGTAGTGATGCAAGGGGGGAGTATTTTCCATCTTTCGATTTTTAATCTATAAATTTATTTTGGGATCAGATGAGTTTCTTAAATGCAACAGAATGCTGGATTCTGTTATGTGATTAGTGTCTTGATCTAAATCTTTTAATTGTGGAATTGAGGCCATTTGTATTGAGATTTGTTATCGAAAGGTGCTGAATTTTTCCTATCATTGTGTTCTTTTTGTTGTTGTGTCCTTTTTTTTTTAACTACTCATCTTGTTTGGTATGTTCATTCCATCTAACCTTCTGGCTTTGTTGGCTATCTTGTCTCTGTCTAGGATATTCTTGCTTATTGTTTGGAATGTTAGTTTGGTGTTCATATATTTCTTAACATGATCTTTGATATGGAATGTCCTTATTTCTACATCAACAGTGTTTGAGACAGAGTCTTACTCTGTACTTCAGGCTGACCTAGAACTCATTATGTAGCCCAGGGTGGCCTCAAACTTGCAGTAATCCTTCTGCCTCAGCCTCCCAAGTGTGGGGATTACAAGTGTGTGCCACTATGCCTGGGTCTCTCCATCAATTTTGCAAGATAATTTTGCAGTATATATTAGTCTGGGTTGGAAGTTGTCTTCTTTTAGGGATTGAAACACTTCACACCCCACTCCCCTGTCTTTAGTCTGTGTTGAAAAGTCTGCTGTATTCTCAATTGATTTACCTTTACATGTGTTTGTTTTCTTTTACTTTCTCTCTAACAGCTTTTAAAATTCTGGTTTTTTTGTTGGACATCTGAAATTTTGAGAATTGTATGTCATAGAAAGCGTCTTTATTCATTGTACTATTTGGTGTTCTGTAAGCCTTGCATACCTGTATGTTGAATTTTTTCCTCATACTTAAGTTTCCTGCTATGATTTTTGTAAACAGAATTTTTATTGTATGTGTTCTGTCTTCTAATTTGTAACTCCATTTAGCTTCAGGTTAGTCTTCTCAGCTTCATCTAGTGGCAGTTGGCTGAATTTTCCTTGTTCTCTATCAGTTTTCAGGCTTCTCTGATTAAATCATTATGAATTTCCATCTTGGTCCTTGAATTCTGAAACCGTGTCTCCACACTGGTCATTTTCCACTGTTCTGAATTCTATTGAATTCTTTATCTCTAGGATTTCTGTTTAACACTTTTTCATGGAATCTCTATCTTTGGAAAATTTTTCATTCATGTTTGAACTGTTTTGGTCAACTCTTTCAATTTTAAAATGAGTTCTCCTATATCCACATTGTCAATTTGTATGTTAGCTGTACTATCTTTAGACTTACATCCTCTTTGAAGTTGCCACGTTTTTTACTACCTCTTTACCTACTTGTTCTGTAGAGCTTGGATATCTGGTGTTTGCTTTTCTGTCCATTGGGGCCCCTTGGATCTCCTTTGGGAGAGTTGGGAGACTTTGGGGCCATTTAATTGCTTTGTGTTTTCATGTTCCTCTTTTCTTTGGTGCTGAGGGTTGAGGTCAAGTAAAGACAGTTTGTTGTTGATATACAAGGATCTTCTTAATTTGGTTGTGTTTTCCAGTAATGTGTTCTTGGCTTTATTTGCCCAGAGATACTATCTACCCCTTTGATCTTTTCAATTTAATAGAGTTGGACCCTGTTATTGTGTTGTAAGGAGAGAATTTCTATTGAGTTTAACAGTGTAAACAGTATCAAGTGTACATCAATCTAAACATTACAAGTTGCTTTGATAATTTCACTCTGGTATCCATACCTCTAAGAGTCTATATGGTTCATCTGGGATGTGTGTTGTGGGTGGAAGCGGAGAGGAAGTGAAAGGAAATGGGTGGCCAATGAGAAGGGAGGATTCAGAGAAATATGAATGGACAAAAGCAGTAGACGGGAGGGTGGACTCTGTTGGGGTTATTTTATAGCTGAGGTAAAGGGATGGTGTTGAAGGGGGTTGAGAGAATGTTTGTGTAGGCAGGAGGATGTATGCAGATGGGTAGATTTGTATTTAGAGATTGATGGAGTCTGTGAGATTGTTGGTAGCTTTTAATATGTTGGTAGGGTATATTGTTTGGATCCTGTAAGCCCAATTTTGTGAAGGATTATCCTTATATGCCCTTACATAGTATTGTTTAATTTATAGCAGTGGTTCTTATTCTCTAATGCACTTATTCAGGACCCTGTTATATTTATACTGTTGGGCATATAGAAAGGAGGAAGGGGAAGGCAAGGAGGAGAGATAATAAAGAGAGAGGAACAAAGAATAGAGTCTTAGTTATTTTTTCGTTACTGAGACAAAATACCTGACAATCAAATTTAAAGGAGGAAAGGTTTATTTTGGCTCAAAGTTTGTAGAGGTTTCAGTCCATTGTCAGCTGGCTCCAATGTGGGGTGGCATTGCAGAGGGGCATCGGCGAGGAGGAACAGTCCATGGCAGGCAGAAGGTAGAAGGGAGCAAGCAGCAAAGCAGAGAAACAGCAGCAAGTGCTGACAGCACCCTGCTTTCTGTCCCTTACATTCTATCCAATTTAGGGTGTCTAATTTTTAAAATTCTTTATATAGTCTAGTTATTAGTCCAAGGTGATGAAACATTTTCCCCAATCTGTATGTTGTCTCTTCACTCTGTTGTTTGTTTCCTTGCCTGTTCAGAAACTTTTAAATTTGATAAGATTCCATTTGTTGATTCTTGATGTTATTTCTTGTGTGATTGGTGTTTTGTTCAGAAAGTCCATGCTTAAACCTACGTGATCAAGAGTTTTACCTACTTTAACTTTGAGCAGGTTAAATGTTTCTGTTTTAAAATTTAGATCTTTGATCTATTTTGATTTTAGTTTAGTACACAGTGAAGAGATATCGTCTGTATGTGGATACCCAGTTTTGCCAAAGTATTTATTAAACCATGACTTTGTGGCCCTTTTGTCAAAGATCAGACAACTGAATGTTCCTTTGGTTGTACTAATCCATTATTTCCTTAAATAAATTTTAATTCATTTCTCTCTAATCCTTCTGAAGAGTATTGTATATTGTTTTGCATGACGACATTCCACAAATTATGTAAACATTCTTCATTCCTTTTCTTTTTATTTTTGCTCCTCTGTAGAGGTAACTTCATTTCACTTCTTTGAATTTATTGATTTATTCTTTGCTTTATTGACTCTGCTATTGAATGTCTTATGAATTTGCCAGTTCTGTTGCGCTTTCATCATTATGGTTTCTGTTTGGTACGGTGTGGCAGCAGGCTGTGCTCCCTGGTTGAGTGGTGCCACTGTTTGGGCTCTGTCATTGAGCGTGGCTACAGACCAGGCTCTATAATTGCTCCTGGTTGGGAGGGACCTCAATAAGTATTCCCTAGCCAGGTAAGTTGCTGACTGGGCTCCATGTTCCAATGGGGCAGCAGAGCCGGTGTTTGAAAACAAAAGAGGCTTCAGACTGTGCTTTGTAAATGAGTTAGGCCGGAGGCTATGGTGTTTAATTTATTGGGGTCCCAGGCTCTTCTTTGTGGTTGAACTAGAATCTTGACCTGGGCAGTGCCATTGAATCTGTACCACGGTCACTGGGCCCATAAGCTCTGTCCCGTATTTGTGTGGGGTTGCAGGATGGGCTCTCAGTCTATACTGGGCACTGGGCAGGCTCCATCATCACATGGGGCCAGAGATCAAGATTTTAGGCAGCATCTCCAGCTTTGCTCTCAGCCTCAGTGTGGCCTAAGGCAGGGCTCTGAACGTGAAAGGGATAGTTGTTTGGCTACCTGATCAGGCCAGGCCAGACATTGTGCTCTGAAATTAGGTGGAGTTGGTGCTTTGCCCCTCTGCCTGGGGAAGGCCTTACATTGGCCTCTGAGCCTGGGCTCCACAGCTGGGTTACAGTAGTTGAAGCCAAGTAGCAAGGCCTACCAGAGTTGTTGACCAAACAGATTCACTGGCTCAGCTCTGTGTGGCCAGGAAGCTGGCTGGTCTCAGGAATGCAATTCCCTACCAACGTAGATGCCCTTTTTCCTGTAAGCCCTGAACCTTCTTTGTTTATGGTTGACCCCAATGTTATACCTGGTGGTGTGGACTGCACCACTGCTCTGCAGCCAGCTGGGCTCATAAACTCAGTACCAGTAACAAGGAAAGGAATCAAGTTTAGGAGGGAAAACAAAAACACTTTATTTGTAAGGAGGAAAGGGAGAAGATAGAAAGCTGTTTGGATGAAGAGTATCCAGGCAGAGGCCATTGGAAAAGGTGAATACCCATGGGCCTTTGCCCTCCACTTCCTTTTGTCAAAATGGTAGAGGCCCCCTCCCAGGTCCATACCTGGAAGTTGCCACAACCTGATGGGTTCCCTGGACTGTCATAGATGAATCCCAGGCCCCAAGTCCCTAACCTTGAGCCTCACATCCCTAAGTGGGCTTGCTTGTCCTTGTCAGGGCTTTATATCTGGAATTTAAAGGTTGCTTAGGATGGACCTTACATACAAGGTGAAGTTAGTGATTGAGTATCTAGTGCAGTAATATAGTGACCCTAGAGTGAGAATATATTCTGTCTATCTATCTATCCCTATCTATCTATCTATCTATCTATCTATCTATCTATCTATCTATCTATCTACCTACCTATCTACCTATCTTTACAGAGAAAGAGAGAGAGAGAGAGAGAGAGAGAGTGAGAGAGAGAAAAGTAGTGTCACCCCACCATCTCCATTGCATTTTCCTGGAGGTGGGGAGAGGTGGCTAACTTGGTTAAGGCACCTTCCTGGCTTTCTCTGCTTCAGCCCTCCTTTGTCTTGTTAATAGTTCCCTCCAGGGAAGCTTTAACTCTTTCTAGTCAGGATTAGCCAGAAAACCTAATGAGGCCTTTCCCTACCTACAGACCTCTTTCCCCTACACCAAGTGGCTTAGTCCTGCTGATTCCTTCCATATTCTCCTTGATGAAAGATAAGAAAGGAGTTTCCACCATAGGCTCTCTTTGAGACACTGTGGGTCCAAGGGATACTGTTCATGCTGTTCTGTCCTGTAGGAAGAGTGGTGCTGTCCACGTGAGACTGTTCTTTCCACCCTCATAATGTGGCTTTCTAATTTATTATTTGTAATCCTACAGGGGCTTTATTTAGTCTGATCCCTAGGTCTTGGGATTTTCACAAGGGCACTTTGTCCGTGGAGAGTTGCTAGTTAGACTTTCTGTGAGGGAAACTAAAGCCAAGAGGTTCCTGTTCTGCTGTGCCCCTAATGCACCTTTGTAATGGGATTTAATTTACCTTTGTCTTTAAGGGTTTTACGGCTTTTCAGAGGTGGCTGGATCTGGGGTGTGTGAATGTGGATTAAGGGTGTGATCCTGGGATTAAGAGTGTGTGGTACTGAATTAATCCACTAATTGGGTTAGCACTGTTCTGGGTGTGGATAATGGGAAGGCCTACTCTGGGTGTGGGTGCCACCCAAAAGTCTTGTAGCCTTGATGGGATAAAAGGGAAAGAGAGGTTTGATGCTGCTGTTGGCTGCTTGCTGCTTACCCTACCATTGACTATTTCTCCTCTGCAATGACCCTCTGCCATGCTGTCTGCCTTAGAGCCAGCTGATTATAGACTGAAACCTCTGTAAACTCTGTGCTGAAATAAACCTTCCCTCCTTTAATTTGTTCATGTTGGTTATTTTGTCCTAGTAATGAGAAAGTAAATAAGGCAAGGAGAAATATAGATATCCAATGATCCATTAGGCGTGTACTCCTAAATTTTCATGCCTTTTAGAAAAAGACATCTAAACTTAATTAATATTTCTACCAAGACAAAGAGTTATTACATGAGCAAATAGTTGAAATAACAGATTGTTTAGAGACTAAAAGTTCCTTTGATGAGGCATTCTACTATTTCTATATTCCTGGTGTCTAGCACAATCCTTTTAAAAACTAACATGTGCAATGATTTTAAGGTCCAAAAGCACATCTGGATTTCTGAAGCCACATAGAACACTTATTCTCATAGAGAAATGTTTCCATATTTAAAGGATTGAAATATCACAGGTAAGTTTTATTTGATGTCACAATGAGAAATAAGTAAATCTGAGGTAAAACCTCTAAATAGGGAAAAGAAAAATGAGTGAGAAACTTTTGATGCATAGAATGTGGAGCAGGTATTGTACTTTACAGCCTCACATGTTGTGTGGCACGCTCTAAAGGTAATACACAGGATGAGGTGGACAGAAGGGAATGTTTAGATTTCTCTGTGGCCTCTGACCTCCCCTGAGGAGTTCCAATTAAAGATCTCTCTATATTCCACATGAATGTGAGCCAGGACACGAACTCCACTGGGATTTTGAATAGATTTAAAATTGAGCCTCAGAACTAAATGGAGAAGAAATCTGTTTTTAGTATTTCAAACCTGTCACAGCCCTCAGAAATAGCGTGTTTGTGTCATCCACCAATGCACCCCGTATGCATGCTCAGTCATTAAAATCCCATCTGTGTTACCGTAAAACCATTCACCCTCCTCCCTCCTAGGTCATAGTTGCCATTTCTTTCTGGAGACAGTCTTGCCATGTAGCTCAGGCTGGTCTTGAACTTGAGCTCACTATGTAGCCCATGCTGGCCTTAAACTTGCAGCTATCCTTCTGCCCCAGCTTCCCAGGTGCTGGGATTACAGTTGTGGCCCACCATGCTTGGCAATACTTCTTCTGCTCCAAATCCCACCCTGATTGTAACCTAGACATGTTCATGTGGATACTCAGCTTTGAAAATAGGGCCTTGTCAGGATAGTTCTTAATCATCTGGACCCATCTACTTCTGATTTTTGTTTGAGAGATCCTAGGGGATGAAATCTATAAATTGTCCCTCACTGGGACCAATGTAATTTAGTAAAATGCAGGTGCCCTAAACAATATAGCACACACACTCTTACCCCTCTGCCACCAGTAGAAAATGGGGTTACCTCCATGCTGCCTAGCAAAGCAGGTGTTCTTTGCCCTAGGCACCTCAATCTCATGATCCAACAGGTCCCTCTAGGGCTCGTCTGTCAAAGGCACTGGACCCCTGCCAGGTCTTGAGAAGGGCAACCTGGAACATCCTGAAGGTATCACATTCCCACTCTGAGCCTTTGCTCTTCATATACCCTCAGGAAACTGTTGGAGCCAGAGCCGTCATTTTTGAGTGTTTGCCGAAGGAGAGGAGACAAACTATATGTGGTGACAGAAGCTGTTGAACTGGTCAAAGATACTGTTCTGCATGACAGGAGCAGTGCGAATGTTTCGGGAAAAGTGTCTATCCCGAGGGTTACTTATGTCAAGGTATGGAATGGGGACACAGAGAATGAAGCCAGCCTAGGCAGCTTATTTCCCCAGGGGCATTGGATCCTATCAGAGCTGCTCTGGGGAGGGTCAGAAGGTGTTTGCTCATTATTTCCTACTGGTCATGTGCCAAGATATCCTGCTGTCTGACCTGGGACCGTATTTTAAAATCCTCCTGGATAATGCTTATGTATAGGATTATTCAGCATTGATAAATGAAAAATAGATTTAGCTATTGGTATATTATTTTATTTTTTTTAGTTTTGGGGATTAAACCTGGGCCCTTCACACTGAAGTACATACCCAGTGCATTTTTATGCATGCATTACTGTGCTTAAAAGTAAGCATGACGCTTAGTGATGTTTTGGAAGAGCTGAGAAACAGGTGTGTTTCCTCTTCCTAGGGTAAATGCCAGGGAGAAGCTCAGAGAGTGAGAGAGAAGACAGTGAGTGTCCCTCAGGGCACGGTGCTGGCCTACAGGAAAAAGCAGCTGGTCATCAAGGACAAATACTGCAGTGAGCAGAAACTGAAGGAGGTGGCCGGGCGGGGTTGCTTGTCCTGAGTGAGACAGAGCAGCAGTGAGGCCACTGTGTGCCGCCACTGCTGCTATCCCTGTCCAGGGAGCAGGATGAGCAGATTTCTGTCTGTCTGGGACGCACAGCTGTCCTACCACCCACAGCCACTGCCTCCCATGGACCAACTGAAGTGTTGCCAGGGGAGAAACAGACACTGTCTGCTACACAGAAGGGACCCAACCCAGGGTGCCCTGTTTGGAGGTGTCCTCAGCACTGGGCAAAGTCAGGCCCTAATCCCAGCCACTCTCAGCAGCTCAGCAGGGGGAGCCACCCAGCCCGCCCTGGTGATCATAAACTCACTCTACAGCCCCAGAACATAACATCAGCACCATCACAAATCTGCAGACATGATATCCTGACAGCGTAACTCAGGACTTTATCTCCATCTCTCCTCCTTCACTGTGCCCCAAAGGCACCATTTCTAATCCCGCCGCCCCCCCTTGGGTCCTGAATTCACGTGGGTTGCTCCATCTGCATCATCGCATACCCGGATGTGATGCATACTGAACACAGTATGGCTCCGTGACCTGGGTTGCTCCTGCCTGATGCTGAGTCCCAGCTTGAGCAGCAGATTCAGCTGGGACTCAGCTCCTCAGAAATGAAGGGTCCCTGTCCCTCCTTCACATGCATGCTTTGCTCCATGTGGGGTCCTCCTGCAAATTCTGCTCAGGGGAGGGTGCTTATGTCAGTGACCTGTCAGTGGCAATGGAGGGAGGGAGGCTGGACTCTGACCTGGAGCAGTTAGTGGGCTCAGGCTTCCCAGGAAAGACTGCCGAGTGAAGTCAGACCTAACGGGAGCAGCAGGGAGCAGGAGAGAGGTCAGAGACAACTGCCAGGGCCCAGGAGATGGCAGTGCTGGTAAAGGCCACGGTGAGTGACTGAGTGACAAGGAGCTTTTAACTTAGGGAGGAGATGAGGAGGAGGCCACTTTCAAGAATAGTAACAACAGCGAAACAAAAAGTAAACGGTCTGATCGAAGGGGATCCCAGAGGTCAATCGTGTGGAATCCGCGGAGAATCAAGTCCCTGTTCCCTGGTGGGCGAAGCCAGGTGGCTTCCCTGGAGGATGAAGTGCAGTGCCCAGGTGTGGACACAGTGCGGACGCCTCTGGGGAGCTGGATGTGCAGGGAGGGGAGACAGGAGCCACACTCGGAGGGCAGTGGGGTGACGGGTGGTGCCTAAGCCGGCAGGGGCTGGGCTGTCCGCCAGGCCAGGACAGATCCCCGAGAACTGAAGGGGCCGAGCCGGTCAGCCCTGTCCCCGGATGTGTCTGCATTCCTCCTGTGCGCAGGGATGAGTCTCTTTTCCACGTTGCAGAGGCGAAGGCTGATACTCAAGGCAATTCCAGTTCTCTCCGAAGTTTCTGGCCAGTGCCACGGCAAATGTTAGACTGCTTTGCATGTTATTTCCCTTAGGTTTGAGAGGAAGATTAACTTTGTTCTCCTAAGTCAAGCTCATTGGACAGGTTGGTTCACCTCCCTTCAGTTAGGTCTAAATTGTGTAAACAGAGACACCCAGTCTCCCCCTGTGGTCACCATCCTTTGGAAACTCCCTTATCTTCCTTCTGGGCTCTTTCACTGTGCCAGGCGCTTAAACCGGTGTTAGGGAAGTTTGAGACCTCAGCACTTTTCTATAGATGAAACCACTACTTACCCAAGATTACAAGACTGGGAGTTGGTGGGTAAACATCAAGACTCTAAGAAAATGTTTAAAGGAGACGATTCTACACAATGGAGTAGGAGGAAGCCCATCTCTTTTTATCTCATGAACATTGGAGGGCATAATGATCACCCGAGGTGCTTATTTAAAATGCAGTAGACTGCTTTTCTCCCTGCCTTGCCATGGACTACCTCTCCTCAATGATGTCCCTCTGCTATCTGCCCTGATTTGGAGCCAGCCAACTATGGACAGAAACCTCTACAAACTGTGAGCTAAAATAAACCTTTCCTCCTTTCAAAAAAAATATGCAGACCTCTGGGCACCCTTCACAGGATCTGAGTCATAGGACCTGGGGGCTCCTGGTCAGTCTGATGAACATTGCAGGTAGCAGACAGAGCTCCCTAAACTGCAGGTGCAGGGAATGGAAATGACTGGCAGGAAGAGCTGCAGCAGTGCTAATTGGGTTTCTTTTCCATTCAGCCATACTTGTATTCGATGATATGAAGCAGAAGACCTTTCAATATGGTGAGTCCCAGTGCCCTGCTGAGTCCTGACCCCCTTTGGATGCCACATGAGCTTCTCTCCGGTTGAGCAGCAGAAAACCTTTTTATGCCAGGCTTCTCCATTGCCTGCCACTGGCCTCCTCTTTAAGCCAGCTACAGACCCCAGTTTTCCAAGGAAAACCAGCCTTTGTCCTGTGAACCCTGGAATAAGTGTAGGCTTATTGGGAGTCAGCAGCCTGAGGAGAAACTTCTCTATTGAAGTCCTGGTATACAGTGAGAAACAAGAGGAAGTGGGAGGAGCTGGAAAGGGGAGAGGACTAGGGATGAAGGGAAAGAAGGAAGAGGGCCAGGGAGACTAACTCACAAGAGTGAACATTTCCCTTTGTCTTTCCAGAGCCACCTCGATTGGGATTGTGTTCCCAAGTGATGCAGACTCTCGAGAGCCAGGGGCTATTCAGTAAGGACAAATCCTGCAGTGAACAGGAACCTAAGGGAGGCGCTGGGCGGGGGTTACTTCTGGGGAGAAAGAGCAGAAGAAAGGCCAGTGCGTGCCACCTCTGCTGCTCTGCCTGTGGGGTGTAGGGTGAGCAGCATTTCTCCCTGTGTGGGGCACACAGCTCCCAGCACCCACAGCCGCCTCCTTGCACAGCCCAGCTGAAATGCTGCCAGTGGGAGATGCAGAGAAGCAGAACTGGATCCTGCAGTCTACACGAGGGAAACCCACCTGTGGCCTTTGCTGCCCTGCCCACTGTTGTGCAGTCTGGGCCCTGGGCATATGGGAGGGGCCTGGGAGGGGCAGATGGAGAAGAGAGGACAGGGAGCAGAGGCAGAGTTTGGGGACACCGAATCCTTGACACTAACTCTTGGGCGGGGCTTTTACTTTCTCATTGTAGCGTTGGAGTTAAGCCCCATCCTTCCAATAGGTGAGTGAGTGTCTGCTGGGGTGGGGACGTGGATCCCAACCTGCACACACTGAGGAGCAGTGCAGCTTGCCCTTGCCTGACTGCTTTGTTCTCTGCCTTGATTCTGGGTCCTGTGGAATGGGGAGGGTCCAGGGGGCCCAGTGTGGCCTCGGGATGGATGACCATGGAGTGGCAAGAGGCCAGACAGTAGGGAGGACATGGTAGGAGGGCAGATCCTCCAGAGTTCCCCAAAAGCAGATTTGGGGATAAAGAAGGTCACCTTTTGATTCTCTTTCTAGGAAGACTAGAGGAACCTATTGGGCAAGGTGAGTGTTTGTTAATAGGGAGGAGCCTGGGCTTCTGGGTGGGAAGTGGAAGGTTGACTCCTGAACTTGGAGATCTCCGTGCTAGTTGGAAAGTGAGGTCTACTTCCAAGTGTGTGTGTGGGTTAGATCCCTCACTTATTCACGCATGCAGTGAACACTTACTGCTGACTCCCGGGCAGCGGTCGTTACTGTAGCACCTGAGATTTGTCAGTTAATCAAACAATGAGATGGCCCACCTCTTTGGAGCATCCACTGTGATGATCTCTCATTCTCAGTGAATCACCCGGGGCCCCCTGAAGCCTCATGGGAGAACCAGAGAGCTCCAAACATCCTCCACTTGTTTAATTCTTCAGATGTTGAATATGCGGGCAGAGCTGTGAGATAATAAGTGAGACTCCTATGTTCTGGGCACCTTACAAACATAAACTCATGTGATCCTCAGTGTCCCCGGTGACCAGGTGCGGAAATGGATCCCAGAGCACTGGGGACTTTCCTCTCTAGAGTCCAGTACTAGATTTTATACTATTCCTAGTTATCCTAGAATGACATTTTGGTCATTTTCTTCCACTTTCAGTGATTTATAATCAGAATCTTCATGGCTGCTCCCATCACTCTATCCCCTACTTCACAGCGCTGGGATTGTCCACCTTTTTAGTCTGGTAGAATGGTTTCATTGCCAGAGTCTAAGCATGACATGAGCAGAGAACATTTTGTTAAGGAGCTGAGGGGGATGGAGAAATTTGGATCGTTGCATGGGGAAGGTTTTATGATCCTGGGGATGTACTAACTAAACAAGTGCCCCTGCTTTCTGGTCGTTTTCTGAGGACAGATTTCAGGGTCCTACAAAAGGAGGTTTCTAAGAATATGAAGGCATTGGCCCAGGTCTCAAAGGACATTCAGGCTGTTGTGTTCCACAGTATCCTGGCCATGCTGGGGGACAAAGAGGCCCTGAAGACACTGCTGGACATGGTGAGGGGCCACAGCTGCCTGGGGGATCAAAGCTGTCAGGGGGGATGTTTAGATATTTGGCTACCAGTATACCTGAGCGAGGAGGGAGGAGTTAGGTTCCAGGAAGGCTGTGTCTGGCCCCGGACACAAGGACCAGGAGAGCAGCCCCACATGACAATGATGGTGTGACTCTCATTAATAAGAATATCTGTCTTCTGTAGATGGAATCGGACAGCTTGGGTCATTTGGACGGTCCTGGTAGCAATATCCTAAATGAACTCCAGCAGGAATCAAGCCCTCCCTGGGTTAACCTAGGGTACCTCATTTTTTACCTCCTGGAGGTCTTACTGGGTAAGAATGATTTGAGGGAAGTGTGGGAGAGTCCTCAAATTGCATTCCAGATCTCCTCCATGGCAGACTAGATGCCACCTTTCTAAAGCCCTTCAGTTATGATGCTCTTCTTCCTTGGGTCACCCTTCTTTCTAAGGTCAGGAGAGCTCAGGGTGGCAAGCCCTCAAGTGATGTAGACTGAGCTTGAGGCTCAGAAAGCAGTGGCCATTGATCAGATCCCATCCTCTGAGGCAGGTGATGCCAGCCTCCACCCTCAGGATCCCCTCTCTGGACCATGTTCTTTAGCATCCCAGACATCGTCTCTAGAGCAGAAGGGCCTCTGAGTGCAGAGAAATTACCTCCAAGTATAACAGGGATCGGTATTCTATCTCAGCGTCCCCTTGTCTCTGGGTCTCCTGGATGGTGAGAGAAACTATCTAGACTTTGTCTCACTTTCTGTCATGTCCCCTCTCCAGAGCTGAGTGACACCCAGCTTGTTCTGCTAGCCCAGTCTGTGGAGAAGAGGATTCTGTCCCAGCAACAAGAGCTGGTGAGATATCCTGAGAGTCTAGCACTCTTGGGAGAACAGTGAGAGAACCAGGGGTAGGGATGATTCTGGGAACGGAGAGGTGACCAGGTTTTCCTGGGAGGGGAAATGGGATCTCAGCATGGTCATGGGAAATCCTGGGCTTCTCTCCCTCTGGAGAGCTGCCTCCTTAGCCCAAGCCTACATGAGGAGTGTCTCTGTTTTCATAGAAACACCTGCAGTTGGTCCCAACATGTCCAAAGTGACCAGGTCTTTGAGACCTAAGAAGATGTAATATACATCCTGCTATTATTACAAAGTTAGCATTTGCAAATTGCTCTCTTTCTTCACATAAGAGGTGTCATGAAGATATATGTTGAATATTTAAATTAAAAAAATATTACAGTAAAAGACACACTGCCACCCCCAGATTCTTAACCTTGGTTCTAAACACTGATCCCATCATTCTTACCACTTTGTGAATCAGTTCTGGAATCTTCTTTTTTTTATATTAAATTCTTTTATTGGTACATTGTAGGTATACAACACAATTACATTTCTCATTGGGAATTGTGCCTTTACAT